GCAATAACAGCCAAAAAAGAATGAAAAGGAAACTCCTTAAACTGTCCTTTCCAACAAATCAACTTACAGCCTGAGGAAGAAGGTAAGATCTAGATTAACTGTCACATCTGTGGAGTCTCATGAGGTTTATATCTGGAAAGAACAACTAAAACATTCTATTCCCTGAATATTGCAGGTCACTATATTTATCCATACATTTTTAAAGACACTAAACAATGGCTGCTTTAGACTCAAGAAGTCTAAACTGCATACCCAGACAAAGACTGAAAGGTTGAAGATGCACTTTTATCACCTTCGTTCCAGCTACTCGTATATCTCCCATCTTTTTCTCATTTCCATACAGCTGTTTGTGGGACAATGGAAAAGTGAGATGGTGGCATGATACACCAATATTATGATGTAACAGTAAGGAAATATATAGTCATATTTAATTTGAGAGAAAATAACTTTCCAAAGACAGCACACTAGCACACTAGTGGCTTCGTAGTGCTTAATGCCAAGTTCTCCTAAGTCCCATTTTCCAAGAATGAGGGAATATGCAGCCCCGCCAGAATATTCTAGAAAGTAAACTGTATGGAATTTAACACAGAAAACAAGAAAAAAAATTCTAAGATTCTTGCCACTCTGAAGAAAAAAAAAAAAAAAAATCCTCCTTTACTCCACTTGCAGTGATCAGCATTTCAAACAGGACAGGAATCAAACACAAATATCGGTTGTTTTGGCCTGATGGAGATCATTCCATGTGCTTAAGAGCAATCAAACACCTTAACTTTTCTTTTAAAGTAATTTAGACTGCATTTCACTCCCAACTGGATAGCACTTCTGCCTGTCTCCCTGATCATTCATGATTCAGTTGAATACTGATCTCCTTGCACACTGACAAGTGCTGCTTCAAGAAAGTGAGTGAGGAAAAAACATTCTAGTCCCCTGCAGGCAACTGCCCAAAGCCCTGGCACAAAATGTTTGGTAGCACTTGCTACAAAACCCAGATGTCTCATTAGCCAATGCCAGAAAGCATCACGACCAGCATTTCTCTGATACATCATAATATTTTTCCAGATAATTAGAAGAAAATCCATGTTAAGTGCATAAGCACATCATAAAATCATAGCATATTTCAATTTGGAAGGCACCCATAAAGATCATCTAGTTCTATCTCCCTGCTTGCAGGGCTTGCCCTCAAATTGCAGGGCTATCCAAAACTGAACACATGTCCAGACATTCCCTGAACTCT